CGTTTTCAGCGCAGCTACATCGTTGCATCTATGGGTTCTCACAGGCTGGTGGAGTGCGCTAACACATTGTAGGTTAAACTTAAATCGTTTGATGCAGTGGTTGCTTGTGTCCATGTGATGTTCGGCTCTTAAACATAAGGTCTTGATGGTAAACTGATTTGATATACTCCATCTGTTCCAGCTATCCACTGAATTGTTGCACATGTGGCTAAAAGGATGATGAAGTCAGCAGAAACTTCAAAGTAGTTTCATCGAATTGCCGTCTGAAGAGTTCTTCACAGCTAGATCACTAAAATTCCCCGTAGAAATTTGGTTTTTTAAATTGGGCCCAACGATCTTGAGTTTAGTGAGAAGTTTTCAATATTTCCAAGGATGCCAGCTCAGCCAGAGTACAGTTTGGGGAGCCCAAAAATGGAGTAAATAAAATGTTCGGGGTGGATATGATAAGCGGTAGCCAATGTCACCTAATTAATGGCTCCAAGCCCGTGCCATCCGCCCATTTAATCATGTCTACGGGCCATACATTTAAGGATAAACATAGTGATATTATAAATCTCTGGTGGTATCCAAGCCTCTGAAACGACAATCACCGTACCAAGGTGGCTTTGGTTTACCGCAAGACATATGGTTTCCTGATGCGTATTATAGGCTACCTAGCCCTGTTGGATGAAGAGTGATCTGAGGACTTATGGTTTGAAAATAAACAGCCGTATCCCATATAATTAGCCCTGCTAACACTGATTTTGAAATTGCTGTGGCATATGGTGATGCAAACATGCAGATTTTTGGAGCTTGTTGGACACGAAAAATATACACAGTGGTAAGTTTGACGGACAGGGTCTGCAAACGTGACGCATATTACTCCAGGGTATGGTTTGGGAACGCCCTGCACCTTGGTGGAAAAGCTAAATTGCCTAGCATTTTTGCCTGTGGGAAATAGTTTGAGATGAATGTGCAATAGTCAGAAAGGTCTAGAAAAGGGGTGGATTGTGGAGAACCCAGGATTGTAAGGGAAAGCAGGAAGCCTGTGGGAATGGATTACTTCAAGCGCGACCTGAATGCCGGCTTATCGTCGAAGCAAAATGAGAATTATGTAGGTGTTTTGGTCACGGTTTTCTCAGTGAACTCTTATTACCGTGAACACGCGTCTGGGTAGTCGCTTGATAGCCTGATGCTCTTAGCCAAATCGGGAAAGCCAATGAATTTGCGAATTAGCTGATCTAACAAACACTGACGTGTACAGGTGTGTGATGTGCAGCCGAAAACGGGTTGTTTACAAAGCTCACGTAGGAATTTCTAGGTATGCCAAAAAATGATACCAAAAATAAAACCCATCTGTCAAGGGCAAATCTCAATGAAAACGGTTATTCCATTGGCAGTAGTGTGGTCCATTTGCGTTCAGGGCTGGTTCTTCCAAAATCTGTTCTTTGCAGTTGAGTAGTATAAGTCTTTTGTTACGGGTTAACTTGAAATCTTGTCAATAGCATCCTTTTGCGTCTCATCTAACGTGATTGCTGATACATTGCCGCTCTGCAATGTAAGTATGGGTTGCCCAGAAAAAACCGGGTGCATTCGTAGAGGTGTAGCAGATAATGAAAGGTAAGCACCGTGTTGATTCCGCCTGCGAATCAACGGTAACCAGCGGTAACTTTCCTTGTTTTCTGACTACTCATGAGTAATGTGACTCGCATCTGTTTATTATTACACCGTTTCGTTTCTTTGCTCGTTTTCTCCCTGTTTCGTCCCGACCTAAGGTCTGCTTATTCCTCAGTAACTGATGTCAATACTTAATTTGCCCGTCCGTCATTGCCTGCAAGTTCGTCTGGATTGCACCTATTCACGAGCGTC